TGCGCCGCGCTGCTCCGTCCCCGGGTGCCCGCACCCGCGCCGCTACGCCTGCGCCCGCACGGGCCGGGCGCTCTGCAGCCTGCAGTGCTACCGCATCAACCTGCAGATGCGGCTGGGGGGGCCCGAGGGCCCTGGGTCCCCCCTTCTGGCAACTTAAGGACCTTACTGAACCCGGACTCTGCCCTCTCCGTGTCCACTTTTCAGTGTCCCCCCGCCATTAAATTTCATCCAGTGCCTCCGCTTGTACAGCATTGGGGACGGGTATGGGCAGATCATTCTCTAGGCACACACATCCTGCCCTGCCTGAGGCTTGGGAACCACCGAGAAGCTCGCGGATCTGCACCGGGACCTAACCCCTTCCAGCCGGATTACCTGCCGTGGTCCGGCGTTTGGCGTCATCCTGAACGTTTACCTCGAGCCAATCAGCGGGAGTTGGCTCCTCTGGACGGCCACTCATTGGTTGATAAGTCAAACCCTGTTCTGTTGTCCGTATTGGCTATTGTTGCTGCCAGTCATGGCCCGGGTGGAACGTTCACCCCAGTCTTTGTCTGTACAAGCTCTTGTTGTCTGGGAGAGCGGCCGAGGCGCTGATGCGGGTTGGCCACAGGGAGAAATCTCTGGTCTGCTCCTATTGGTCCGTTTATCAGAGGGTGATGCTGATTGGTTGGACAGGGCATCCTGGGTTCTAGTTGGAGGAGCTCTCCCGGGTAGAAGCTCCGGCCGCGGAGTGATGGTGGCTGCAGCGAAGATGGGCCGGGCAGGGACCATGGCGGTGGCGGCAGAGGTGGCAGGGGCGGGGCAGCTGGCAGTAGAGGAGCCTGTGGTCTTCAGGGGGCTGTAGGTGGAGGCATGGCTCGGGCCAGCAGCGGGAACCGCAGCGAGGAGGCCTGGGGGGCACTTCGGGCGCCGCAACAGCAGGTATCCCAACAGCTCCAAAAGCCTATCACGACAGCCATTTATTTCTCCTTACCCTCTCCTGTCCCTTCCTCTTGGGGGATAGGGGAGATCGAGGGAGGAACTTAGGGAGCCGAAGGTACAGTGAAGTTCCTAAACTTGTCCCTTCCACTCTTTGTCTAAACTTTGTAACGTAGACGCAGTTGACTTTACCTGCAGCCTCAGACCCCATCCCACGGCTGCAATGGAAGCTTGCAGTGAGTGGCTCTCCAGTGACCGGAGGCATAGTGAGGCCCCAGGGAAGCTCCCTCTGTCTTGTAGCAGTTATTTGTGATGTTTTTCTACCTGCCTATTGTCACAGCAGTCTGGCAGCGTCTTCCTTTGAAGGGGAAATTTGGAGTTGCGCCCTGGATTCCGTCCGTTCTCATGCACAGCAATCCCATCTGGTTGGGAGCGCTGCTCTGGGTCTCACACTGCCCTCCTCTACCCTAGGGAGCCTGAGACCCAGGGGCTGAGAAATCCAGTTTGTGGGTGGGAGTAGCAGATGGTGGGGTGGTGTGTACTGAAAGCATGTTAGCTTTGGAAATGGCCTTAAATCCCTACCCATTGTCTGACACTTTTGAGATAGCTCAGGCTGCCCTCAGCCTTTGCCAAAGCATTCTGTTAAGAGAAAGGACCCTGGTGGGCCAGGATTGTGAGAGGTGTGTCAGAAATGCAGAGCTAAAATATGTCCACACTCCGTGTTTGTTTTCTAGGCTGATTTCTTGCTATTCCAAATCCTCTTCCACATTGACAGCCTTTCTGATACTTGAACAATCCTCTCAGCATTTCCCACTCCCTTCACCTTTCTGAGGGGTGGCATTGTGTATCTGCATGCAGGAGGTGAGGGTGCACAGTGCCTTGGGCTAGAACCTCCCCTGTGCTAAGTGCTTCCTTGCCCCCAGCTTCGAGAGCTGTGCCCCGGAGTGAACAATCAGCCCTACCTCTGTGAAAGTGGTCACTGCTGCGGGGAGACTGGCTGCTGCACCTACTACTACGAGCTCTGGTGTGAGTCTCCAGGAGGGCTGTGCTCAGGTCCTTCTGCCCACCTTCCCTTGGAACCTCAAGGACCTTTCTCTGCCAGGGAGGTATCTGAGACATTCCCTCTTGCCTCCTGCAGGGTTCTGGCTCCTCTGGACTATCCTCATTCTCTTTAGTTGCTGTTGCGCCTTCCGCCACCGGCGAGCTAAACTCCGGCTGCAACAACAGCAGCGGCAGCGTGAGATCAACTTGTTGGCCTACCATGGGGCATGCCACGGGGCTGGCCCTGTCCCCACCGGCTCCCTGCTTGACCTTCGTGAGTGACTTGAGGCTCTGGGCTCACTACCAGCGGCCCCTCCCGAACCGGCACCCTGAATCATCCCCTGCTTCCTTTTGCAGACATTTCAAAGCACCCTTTTCCTTAGTATGAGATCACTTCCCCGTCCCTGGTTGTCTTCAACCACCCATGCTATTCTCTCCCCTGCAGGCCTTCTCAGCGCCTTCAAACCCCCAGCCTATGAGGATGTGGTTCACCGCCCAGGCACACCGCCACCTCCATATACAATGGCCCCAGGCCACCCCTTGACTGCTTCCAGTGAATGTACCTGCTGTTCCTCTGCATCCAGCTGCCCTGCCCACTTCGAGGGGACAAATGTGGAAGGTGTTTCTTCCCACCAGAGTGCCCCCCCTTGTCAGGAGGGGGAACCCGGGGCAGGGGTGAGCCCCCCCCATACCCCTCCCTCTTGTCGCTATCGTCGCCTGACTGGTGACTCGGGTATTGAGCTTTGTCCTTGTCCTGACTCCAGTGAAGGTGAGCCAGTCAAAGAGGTGAGAGCTAGTGCTACCCCACTGGAGCTGGAGGACCGCTCCCCCTGTGCACTGCCTGCAGAGCCCATGCCCCACGTCTCTCCTGTGGGGCTGGCTTCCAGTGAAGGGGACACCCCATAAGTGGTGATGGGAGGATGGGTGGGTCACTTGCCCACCAGAAACAGCCCTGGTCCCAGCTCTAGTCCCCCTCAGCCCCTCCCTGCCCTCTAGAATTTGCCTGAAAAGGCTGGAGCCCTGAGGAGAGGGGCGATACTAGGGGACCGTGCTAGCTTTACCCACCCCCCAGACATACACAAGAGCCTTGATCTCATTAAAGAGATGTGAACCAGCTGCTTGTGGATTTGGGTGGACTAGAACTCAGCTGACTGCACTGTACTTAGCCCGGCGGGGTTTGAAAGGGACGGATAATGGTCCCTTTATTAAGGGTCCCCTATTCATCTCAACTTCCCTGAAGATACAGGAAGCCTTAAAGCCCAGACTGAGTTAAGACCTCTTGGTGAGGCAAAGCTAACAAAAGCAAGAGAGTTTGGTGTGTTTTTTTTCCCAATTTACTTAGAAAAATATTGAGTTCACATTCACCCCAGGGCTATGTGGGATGAGAGGATGGAGACACCTGAGATGAGCCGAGGAAGGTTGGCATTACTGGTATCTGAAGAGCTGGGGGCAGAAGCCAGAGACCTTGTCCCTCCTGATTCAATGGCATGAGTGGCTTGGCTTGCTTCCTGTCATCCCTCTCAGTAGTCTTCAGCCATGACCAGTAAGACAAGGCTGGTCCAGCCATGGAAAGGGCGGCAGCCCATACCCCGCCCATCCCGGTCACTGTACTGTTCCCACAAGAACCCTGTGGCCTGGTACTGCCGCCACACATTGCCCACCACATTGGCACGGAGCTCACTGTGTAGCTTGGCAGCCTGGGCCTGGTGGGGACCCTCTAGATGCCCATAGTGGTGGAGCGCTCCCAAGGCCAGGTAGTTGACATTGAGCCACACAGCACCCCGCCAGTAGGGAGGATCATGCTCAGAATTGCGCTGGCCATAAAAAGGGCTGGAGGCTGCAAGGGAGCGCAAACCAAAGGGGCTCCAGAGATGGCGGCTATCGGCGAGAACATCCAGCAGGGGTCCAAGGCGGGGTGAGTTGGGGTCCAGCAGCCGTAGCAGCAGGGGAAAAAGAGTGATATAACCCAAGGCATCCACATATTGTAAGCGAGGTGGGGGCCGGCCCACCACACGAACCAGCCCCTGAGGGGACCTGGGTTTCAGCTGTACTGCTTTTGTGTGGTTCCCGAAGTCTGCAAAGACCCCCAGCTCTGCAGACCAGTGCAGCTCATCCAGGCCCTCCTCTGCCTCCAGTGAAGCAGCCAGGGGGCCCAGCTCAGCAGCTGCCTCAGCCTCTCCCAGCTGCTCTGCAAGCCGTGACAGCACACGGGCACCCAGGGCCACCCAGCATCGAAGATCCAGGTGCCGCTCAGTTGCTGAAGGGTGCGAAGCCCGGGGGTAGTCATCCAGCCCTGAGGGCAGAGTCTTGGGGTTCAGTAGGGTGGGCAAGGCTGCGTCCCGGCCCCGCCAGCGGTAAGATAGTGGCACTGGCCCTGCCTGGCTCTGATGGAGCCACGAGAACCAGGCATGCAGGCGGGGAAATGCCCTGCGGAGGAAGGCCAGGTCGGCAGGATCACCACCTTCTAGCATATGGGCCACAGGCAAGAGCAGAGTTGGGGGGTTGGCATGTGCTGCCCGTTGCACCAAAAATTCTGGGGGCACCCGTGCTCGGGCCTCATCCCCCAGGACTTGTTCCCGCCCAATCCAGCCATCAGCATTGAGTAGCCCCAGCCAGTGGCCTAGGGCTTCCCGAGTGAGGCGGGGCTCCCACCGCTGTACCACTAGCTGGTGGAAGCCCTCATCCCAAAGGAAGCCTCGTGGGAAGAATGAGCGGGAGGGCACCCCTGAGAAAAGAGGGACAGGTGGAAAGAGGGCTGGATCAACCAC